AGATTTCAACAGAACACAACATGAATACACCAATTCACATCAATGAACCGAATACACGTAATGTCTGACACTTACCAGCTATTAATAAGACTTCTTTATATTAATAAGCCTAATAAGTATTACTTAATTATTAAGAGATATAATAACTAACCTACTTAGTATTAATACCTTATGCTATCTATAAATATAAACCTAGTATAGACTAGTTTCCCTATTTAAAACTATATTTATTATAAATAGCACTTAGTTAGCTGATGAAAATTGCTAAGAGGGATAACTCACTGTATTAATAATTATAGCTCTATAGCAAAGCACCGACTGGTCTCGTAATGCCTATGAACTTGATAGAAACACTTAGACAGCCTTTTATACTGGCCATCTGACTTGTTAATCGGGCAAGCTTAGTAACCTCACACGTGACCCGTTGGTCGCGTTTTATTCGAGAGGGGCGGATACGCCTCCTTTTCTTTCAGCTCAGGATATTCGGATTCCGTACGATGCACTATTGCAACGCCCGAGCTGTTACTGTACCCACCTATAGTCAACCTGTCGCAGAGCCTGTCTAGCCTACGAACCATCATGTCCAGCCCCAAGTCACCCAAGAGCGACCAGGGTGCCTCGCGATCGTCGATGTCACCTAAATCCCCACGAGACGCGCCGCCCCCGATCGACGCAGGGCAACACCCGACGAATACGCAGATCCCATATGTACGAAGTCATCATTGCTGCTGTTTGACTCCAGCCGACTCGTTGTGTTAACCCGGGCGACCAAATAGAACGAAGACGATGCCGACGATCAGGACTCTACATACGACGACGATGGAAGGTTAGCTGGGATCCCTGGTGTCGGCATCTATGGGATCTAACGCGTTGTTACTATTACGTAGTATCGCATCGTCGACGGCCTCCCTCTCGGAAAGCATCTTCGACTACCGGAGCCTCCATGGCCGAACGTTTCAGAACTCGAAAACAACGGAATATTGGGGTCCAAATGACGAGAGACAGAACAATGGCTTGGATATAGCACACCATTTCATGGTTATGCTCAAGGACGACAAGTTATTCGACGCGCCCATTACTCGGCCATCCAGGGTCTTGGACGTAGGCACTGGTACAGGTATATGGGCCATCGACATGGCGGACGCGAATCCCTCAGCCGAAATTACCGGCACCGACATCAGCCCAATCCAGCCAGCCTGGGTGCCTCCAAACTGCAAGTTCCACATCGAAGACGCGCAGCTGGAGTGGACATATCGCCCCGAGAGCTTCGACTTTGTACATATACGCGCCCTCTACGGTAGCATCAGTGATTGGGGCGAGCTGTATCGCCAGGCGTTCCGGTCATTGGAACCGGGCGGGTGGATTGAGAATATGGAGATCAATATCCACTTGTACAGCGATATCCCCGAGGTTAGAGACGATCCCGACCATATCTTCAAGCGCTGGGCAAAGGTATTCTGGGAGGCAACAGACATGATCAACAGGACACTGCGCATAGCCATGAACGGCACCCAGCGCAAGTTCATGGTTGAGGCTGGCTTTGTCAACGTTGTAGAAAAGACGTACCAAGTGCCATGTGGTGCCTGGAGTAGCGACCCAAAGATGAAGAAGATTGGCACATACAACCTAGCATTTATGGATGAGAGCTTAGAAGGCTTCGCCTTGTTTATGCTACGCGAGATAATGAAATGGGAATACGAGGAGGTGCAGCTGTTTGTCATGGAGATGCGCAAGGCTGTCCGAGACTCCAAGATCCGGCCATACTATCTCATGTGAGTATTACTCTCGCCTTCTTTCGCCTTGCCAGTAGCGGGCGGAGTTCCGGTATCGACAACTCTGGCTGCTGAATACTGAGACGTTTGATAGAACCAATGTCTTTGGGCAGAAGCCTGAGGAACATGAATAGGGGAGTAAATCTTGGTACGCCTCATGCCTAGGGTAATAATAGGACCTTGTTCAAGATGGGCATTATAAAACATTAACTGAGATTCAAATTGAGGATGCTGCTTCCCTCTGGGATGCTACCTACCCATGGAACTCGCTTGCCATGATCCCCATCTATCACAAACACCCCTCCTACGCAAATTGGAACTGCGCGTCATCTATCCAAGCAACTGAGTCGCTATAGTGTAAACCTCACTGCTAGTTGAATATTCCCTTGATCTAACCGGTCTTGTGTGTAAAAGTTGAAGTCGTAACCGTTTGTCTAAGAGCCACTGAAACCTCGTTCATATCAACATGGAGCGTCAGCAAGGACTTTGAGAAAGGACTCGACATGTTTAGTCAAATGAATACGGTCACTGTGCGGACGAATATACAATTTAATTATACTATAAGGGGAGATAAGACCGAAGCCTACAGAGTCATGGAAACAGCTTGCACTTGCAACAGCTGGCTCCAAACACACGATACCTGTAGATCAAAGATTACTAGAACAAACATTAATGATCACAATTTCTCTCTTCAAGGCCCCAGAAATTATCGATTTCGTTCCATTATTTGTACCCACATGTCAGAAATGGCAAAGAGCCCAAGATGATTTCGAGCGTCCCAGGGTTTGATCGGATTGATAAGTGCCATATCAAAATTGCGCAGTAGCTATGACAATGTCAGCTCATTGCTCATAGGTGTCAGATACAAAAAAAAGAAACTCAGCTATACCTCGAATATAGTCTTTCCTAGTTCAAGCTGAGCCACGGGTCTGCCCAAACACTGGAATCTGCCGTGCCCAAAGACCAATTCGTTTGTGCGGATCATGGCGGCCAGCTTGTCTGGATCAGATTTCAGCCACCGCTCAGGCCTGAAGACCTTCGCGTCTTTACCGTAGACTTCCTTGCTATGGTGCATCCCGTACGCCGAGTAGCCGATGGACACACCACCTGGCAGGAATATACTCTCACCGTTGACGGTGACCGTATCGCCACCTGGGGGCGTGTCACGTGAAAAGATATTGACAGCGGGTGGCCATAGTCGCAAAGCCTCGCGTATAACGGCCTGGAGATAGGGAAGTTGCTTAGCTTGTGTGAGGGTAATGATGCCCTTGCCAGAACCTGGAGCCTTGCCCTCTAGGATAGCATCGTCGACCTCTTGCTGCAGCTTCTGATATACACGGGGATTGGTCATGATGTACAAGAGGGCTCCACGAATACCAGTCGACGTTGTGTCAGCACCCGCAACAAGCTGCTCCAGAGCTTCTGACCGTAGCTCATCTCCTGATATGCCGTGACGGATGAAGGAGGCTAGCATATCGGATCGTTTATCAGTGGGGTCAGCTGCACGCTCGTCAACGGCGCGGTAGCATGCCGCAATCATCTTCCCGAAGCCGTTATTGTCTTGTGGCGACGGCGCAATAAACTTTCCGATAATGGGGGCATGGGCAAGCCAGCTAAAGCCCAGAGCAAGAGCAATGTTGCCAATAGCTAGACCCTCCTCGCTTGATTTGAGATACTCGTCAACATCCGAGTCTTTCTGCACCATGCCGAATGGCTTCCCAAATCCGATGCCGCTGATGATATCCAATGTTAAGTACTGGACCTTTTGAGCGACGTCCATTGGGATGGCTTCAGTGTCCGATGAAAGATACTTGTTGCGGATAAGGTCTAAAAATTCTTGGACTCGCTCATCAACGGAACTTTCGAGATGTGGGTTTTCTCTCCCGGAGTACTAGACTTAAGTCAGTGTTTTGTTCTTTGGTAAGCCAGCTCTGTTAACTTACCCCTGGGGCCATCTGTTTCCTTCGCTGCTCGTGCTTTTGGTTATCTGTCTGGCTAAAGACATTGTCCCTCCGATATTCGATGCGGCACGCATTATAGTACCAGTCGGAGCGCTTATATCCGGGCTTGTTGTTGACATGGATCCAAAGGTCGGGAGAAGACGTAATCAGGATGTTCGGTGCTACTCGCGCAATGGGACCTAGTGATTATCGCATATCAGTACATATGTTTAACGGAGTATCTCAACAACAGGCACCCAGTGTCTCACCATGTTTCAGATTAGCTTGCTCATACAGCTCATGGCAACGGTCTTGCAGCATCGCCCAGCTATGAGGCCAATCACTGAAGCCAGTCCAACGAGGGCCACCAAACTGACGAAGCTTGGAGTAGACGACCAGCTTCTTGATGACGAACAGGCCTAGAAGAGCGCAAACCAGCAGCTCTCGGTGCTCAGACACGTTAGCGAAGAGTCCCATTGCGAAGGCCAAAGACGTGTGAGGAGTCCCGAAGTGGGGTGTAAACTAGCCGTGGGCCTCTTTGCGAAAGCTCAGGTTGATATCGCAGCATCCACTTGAAACAGCCGACGATGATTCGAGTCCGTGAGTCTGGATGGTGGAAGGCCGATCTGTCTACATCCCCGCGGGGATTCTGCTCTGTGCGCGCGTAGAAGCGGGGCAGGGGTCGGGGACAGGGGTTAGGGAATTGCGTCCATGGCTCTCCAGCCACCAAAATTCCAGTCATTACTAATCTAATTAGCTGCAGAGTCTGCCGTGTCCCTCTTCTTGGGCGACACTAATAAGCCGCAAGTAGCTTTACTACTGATCATTTTGTGCACCCGGCTTCAGGGTAGGTACCTCGGTTTCGTTTAGGCGGTCTTGTATTTGTTTCAGGGAGCGCTCTGGTGTTGCTCCACTAATATAGTAGTGATTAACAAAAGGCCAAGAAAGGAATAAGCGTTGATTTCGAGCTGTTTGAGACATACGTAAACATCCTAGAGTTGCTTATTTTAATGATTTAAATGTCGCTAACCTATGGATAGACGGCTTTTTATTTTGTGACGTTATGTAAGACGGGCATTGACGTTAAGCGGGTTAAAGCTTAAGACCATCAAATATAGAAAACATAAAGCCCTATTCAAGAAGAGGAATCCTTTCAGCTAACTCCTAAATACCCGAAAGGTATCACCAAGTTAGAGAATGATCATCATACCGGAGTGGGAACCAGCGGATGACAAATGGCGACCCCACAGCAGGCGTGGGGGGTTAAATTTGCAGGTGGAAAGAAAGGGAAAAATGCCAGTTGCGCGGAGGTTTAAACCCCCCCCAAGATTGTATCTCTCGGTCAACCAGTACGTATTGTTGACTAGTGTAGGAGGCACAGCGCGAACATATCCCGATATACCATTTAAGGCCGATTAATTCAAAAATTCGAGGATACAAAAGAAATTATTATGAAGTTGTTTAATTAACATAGGTCTTTGAAGGCTTCTGTTCCTTGGAGATACTGCAAAGGGTGCTTTAACTCCACCTATCCTATGAAAGGCGGGCTTAGGTTGTAAACGACCAGTTCTAGAGTCGTCTGGTCATACTTGTCAGAGATTGTATCAAAGGGCGCTGCAAGTTACTGATTCTCTTCTTGTTGCAGAAACCCTTTGGTGTAAAAGCAGCTGTATACAAGCTGTTCTTGATTAGGAGTCTTATTGGCTGAGCCACTATGAAAATAACTAGACAGGAATAAGAAGGTATCACTAGTGTCTATCTCGGCATAAAACGTAAGGCTCTTGCCAGGGTGTGTGGTCTGGTCCTAGAGATGTAAGCCGAGAATAAAACGTGTGGCCCTGTTCTCCTTTGTCGCCTTCTTTCCAGCTACAAAATACCTTAAGCCTGTGTCTTCACTAATCTCATACTTAGCTGCAGTGCGCTGTTGCACTGGGTTGTGGTAAATTATGTCATCCCTATGTAATTCTTGGTCTTGGGCGCCTGATGCGATGCTGAAGATGATGGTGTTGTTTAGCTATGGCTTGCTAATAAACATCTTCTACTTGCCGTTGACCTAACAGTTGTATGTTGAAGTAAGCATTTGCTTGGCGGCAGTGAGGGCGAGAAGGCTTTGAATGATGGCTTTGGCGAAGGCAGAAGATTTGCCGATACGGTCTATGACCCTCTTGGTCTCTTTTGGAAAGAAGTCTCTAGCCCAAGCGCCATCGCCCTGGATGTAGGTGCGGGTGTCCTTTTTCGATCTGGGCTAGATCCTCGGCGGCTATGGCACCCTTGAGGACGCAGCCACCAGTTCTCATCAGAGCTGCCACGATATCATTGACCTTGGCAGTCGCAGCATCGAATGTCTGTACAAGAGGTAAAGGCCGAGAGTGACCATCATCTCCTTTTGCCATGTTTAAAGATGAGTACTGAAGAGAAGATACGCTCTCTGTAGTCTGAGATTGGGACATGGCGCTATGTTTGCTTGTGACACCTATCCGATCGATGAATGAAATAAACAATTTTCAGATGTCTGGGGAGTTTTCGCTGGGATACGCTTTTAGCTCCTGATTGGCTCGGGCGCCTGGTGTTTTCTTGGCTTAAGCACCAAGGGAGATAAGCGCGTTAGAAGCCAGATTCGGCTCCGCAGAATGAGTGATGAACCAAGGTAGATGTTTAACAGTTGTTACACAACTGCAATTATGATCAATTAGAATTGTCGAATAATTTCTTTAATTAGAGACGCGATAATTTCGCGTCCTAGTAATTCTAGCCTACACAGAACCCTCAAACGAATCCGGACCACAACCAGGGTACAAGCCAAGCCAAGCCTCAATCGGCAATCGATCACCAACAAAAAGGCACGGAAAACAGAACAGGTCTCTTTACGGGTCATCACTGGGTAATACAGAATAGTCGAGAATGTGAATTGATATCCAAATCTGCGCTTCAATTTTTGAACACAGTAACAACTTTCTACATACATCAAGATGACTCGGTTCTAAATAGTTGTCAAGGCTATCCATACTTGCCCTGTGGCAATTTAGAAAGTCTTTGGTGAATGAAAGTTTTAAAATCTCTGCCAAGCCTGGCAACATCCGCCACTTCACCCTCTCTCACTTCGCAGGTCCTCAGAAATACCGGCATACAACCTAATCAAAGGTGATATCGAAAGGTACGCGGACAGTTCCGTCTGACGGAATAGGCTCACTGTACGTCAGGTCGGAGCATTTGGCGTTGCAGCCAACAATATGGTTGACAGGAATGGCAATGCTGAACTCGGCCTGGCCGCGAACATAGCGTCCATTGGAGTTGAGGGTTTGCTGCTGAGCCTCTGAATGTGTCTGTTAGTTCTCATCCATCTGCGGAGACACATTGAACTTACCAACGTCAGTCTTTCCAACACAAACTCGATCCATGTGGCCCCAAATTCGCTTTGTACGATCGGCAAACCAGACCTGGTGGCAGTTCTGATCCTCCCACTGGCAGGTGCTAGATCCTCAAAGTCAGCAACAAATTTTAGGACATGCAGAGTAGGTGTCTACTTACTTGGTCGTCGAATCAGTGGTGCAAATCATGGTTGTAGTACCATCCACGTCTGTGTATTGATAGTTGATACTCGATCCCAAACTGACCTTTGCCTCAGTGTTTGGAATAGCAAATTCCAAGGCTCCATCTAGGATCTTGTAATCAATACCGTTGCTGGAAGATTAAGAGTAGGAAGTGCAGCTCTGTCTAATCTGGGCGGGCTTGGAGTTGCAGGACGAGGTCGACTTGCAGTCAATCGCCGCCCCCGAGTTCTGCCAGCTAGATTACTCAACAGCAGACTCTACGAACCAGTACCCAGTCCAGTAATGATCATCGTTGTGACCTGTAGTACAGGCGTCATCTTTTCCGCTCTTGGGGAGATTCACGCCTTGATCAACACCATAGCCAGTTTGCTTGGGAATCATGAAGCTAGGGTCTTCCTTGTTGCAATCAGGAATGTCGTCGCGATAAATCTTTGCATCGATGCGCTTGACGAGGGTTTCCAGAGTCTCGTCTTGAGCCTCAAGATCACCGAGGATATTATCAAGAGCACGCTCGTCAACAGGTTCATGCTTTGCGGGCATCGCTGCCGCCAAAGACATGCAGGCAAAGGGAACAACTAGGTTGAAACGCATGATGAGTGATGGTAAGGAGATTGTTTGGCTGTCAATAACTTGTCGAAAGTCGGATGTAGAAGAGAATGCAGTGATGCAATGATGAGAGGTTTCCAATGTTGAGAGTGAAGCCCTGCTTAAATACATTTGTCCTTTGTAAGTGGCCAAATTTATCTCATGATGGACAAGTCGGTTTCTATTCTCATGTGTTCGCAGCTTACTTCCTATTCCCTACGTTACAAGGCAAGTGCACTGAAATTGCCAGGATTTCCCCAGCCTCCATTACATTCGCTTTTACAGGAATAGCTCTATTCAGAAAACCGGCAGTTAACTCCTGTAGGAGTTGAAACCAAGAATCAAGATAGGGCAAGACTAGGCTTTTAGCCTATTTAGCTGCGCAGACAGCGTAGGAGCGTTGATCTTACAACTCGCAATCTACGCCTTGTCTCAGAGTATATCAGCCCAAATTATGTTCGAGATGGGACGAATGTGGTGGTTCGTCAAATTCTCGAACGAGGAGGATGACGGCATGGATCCATGGCTCCGAGGGACCGGAACATCGGGAGCAAATCAATCAGTTGTAAAGGATTCAGCGCGCGGGGTCCAAGGAAGGATATGAATCCATCCTTCCAGTTGCCGGTAGGAGTCAGATGCTAGAAACTTTGTGGCTGAAACAGGGTTATAATTACAATAGGATTTTGTAGTGCAGAAAGGAGGCTAATAGTGCCCCATGCTAGATAGGCAGTTATTTATTTTGGCTTTATTAAAGCAAGCCCCGTTTTCAGGTAGATGAAAGTTATAATCCCCTAAATGGTTGCCTAGCTTAATGTGACCTAATAGAGTGACTAGCCTCGTGATCGCCTGAGCGACTCATCTGAAGGCTTAGCGGAGGATGGAAGGAATCGACCATGTAAGCGCAGTGGTCTGCGCACTCACCTGTCCGTTGAAGCGTGCTTGTCAATACATGGTAACTCTCTCTGTTACTTGCATCCTCCACCGGGAATAATTGCTGCCCGGACCGGTTCACTAACGCGGCAGATACCCAGGCTGGAGGAAAATCGCTCAACTGCTTTCCCAGCTCTCACATGTATCCGGCGATAACTAAGATGCTACTCAGTCATGCCAAGACCAAGGCTACTATGAACATTTCGTGCTGCTTCGAAGACTTGCTAGCAGCTATCAGGGGCACGGAGCCACTTAGTGTATTTTTACATATTGAGTATATTAATGATCAACGGCAATTCATCTCCACTAACGTCAGGATTCGATTGCGTCATAGTCATTAGATTTGGCCCTGCTGCTTCTTCGGAGACCGATGGCTAGTTAATCCTGTCGTGTTTAGCAAAGTGCATTGACGTCTAGTAGACCCCATAAATTGCTGAAGATCCCGCCATCGCGAAAGGCTCCCAGAGGGTTTGCTATGTTCTTTGGGCGGATGGTATCGATGAAAAGGAGTAGAATTGAGCTACTTATCGCTAGGTCCAGCCAGCATCATCCCCCGAGCAACCCGCAGACCGGCGTGACTGGATATCCCGTCTGTCCCTGGCCAACTCTCAGTCATCTTTGCCCACCTGGGTACGTAATGAGGAAAGCAAGCAAGCTAAACGTAGACCCGTTCGTGACATGTAAAAATGGCTCGTTCGACGTCACATCTATCGCCGGGTTTCCATGAGCCACCGTTCTAGAGCAAGATATTTGGATAATCGCCATCGGAGAAAACGTTCTTGTGCACTGACTCTTGAAGGGGGGTCTTCTATGGATAATGGAAGAGTTATCCCCACTACGGCTTAAACCACGCCCTCTGAAGGCAACCGGGCTGGCAGACCAGAGGTACCTAGAGGTTAGAGGACGCCTCTCTTCTCGAGAGGTCGCTGTCGCCTCTATGCCGTATTGTTATAAGACATCTCCTGACCTGAGCACCCACTGTTGTCGGGCGTTCAGCTCATCCCATGAATCAATTTTTGACTCAGTCCTGAAATAACAGAATCCGCCATTCTGTAAGTAATTAAACTGCCGCTTTGATTTTATTGAGCTGCTACTTCTGCTATTTCTACGAGCTAGAGGTTTAAATACATGATGTACATGTGTACTGACGTCTCCCCGGTCCTTGACAAGCCTAAACTGTCAGGAGAACAAGATCCGGCGGCTTCCGCTGCCCAAGAAAGGTTCTTTTCGGTGAAGATGGTAAGCGAAAAGTGGCACAAGAAACGACGCTGGGCGCGGGACCCAACAATGGCATCGATCCTACGACGTGTTGCACTTCATAATTGGGTACTAGACTCAGATGGCTATTTGTAACTTGAGAAATAGCTAAACGAAACCGTAAGTCGATTGATTCAAGTCAAAGCTCCATGCACTGTGTACGAGCGGTTCTCGCATGACTTCACGCCATTGTTGAGCATTTCCGCAATTTTAGAGATGCATGATCTAGGTAACAGGTCAACATAGCTTTGTTCGTGATTCTTGACGTTCTTGAGCTCGTGAAAGATATCAACGAGTTCTTCAAGACCCAATTGAAAAGATTCGTGACTGGAACAATTGTCGTAGAAGAACTCAGCGATGGCAAAGAGGGGAATAGGCATTAGTGGATGGACCTAGACCTAACCGTCAGTGTCTTGGTACGATGCACTATTTAGGCCGGGACCTAGCTTGCCTTTGAAAAATGCAGATTTTGCAAGGCTCTGGCAAACTCAAATGAGTCCTATAGCCTCCCTATATATAATCCCAAAGTCCAAACCTTGCCAATTTAATCTCCTAAAATACTAATGACTTCCTTTTATTATACTTCGTACTGCAGCATCTTCGATGAACTGTTGGTCTTTAAATACCCAAGATCCCATGTACCCTATTGCGTCACATTCACAATCCCTATCACTCTGGTAGCAGAGGTGTTGCAGTTGTGGCTGTCATATAACCAACCATTCGACCGCCGCAGTTGGTCGTATTCCTGCTTCACTGTGCGAGCCTGATCTTGAAATCACACGCATTCAATCTCAACTATAAACATCTGTATAGTCCGAGTCATGTTTCTACCCCGCTTTATCTTCTTAAGTACTCTCAGCGCCGTTTATAGCTTATTTCAGCCATTATGGCCAACGCTCCTCACCCAAAACGCATGGCGGTACCGCTCAAGGGGTACAGTACGATCGATAGCAACAGCAAGTTTGCTGAAGATTTAGGACCGTGCAATCATTGCTCAGGCTGTCGCTCAGATATTACTGACATAGTTACCTCGGGTAACTCGTAATTACACCATTCTATAAAATTCTTCAGTAGGACGACAGAAGTGCGAAGATAAAAAGGTGGGGTTGTTCTTATCGGTAAATATAAATCCAACATAAACCAGTTTGCCTGTTTAGAAATCTAACTATACCAGTTCTGGCTCACTGTCAATCCTAGATGCTAAGGGTTAGTAGGATCCATAGTTGAGGAATTAGCTCAAAACGCTGAGGCAGCGATTCCTGAGTCAACGCGCATCAGCCAAACGCGGGGTATGGGGTAGTGTAGTCGACTTACTCAGGGCCGAGTGACTCAGGATCGTCAAACGTGTTGGGACAGACAAGGCAGTCCAACATGTCTTGCATAGCACAGCTGCATAAGTGAGCGAATATCATGTGGGGTACTACTCTTGACCCTGAGTCAAAGGGTCAGATGTCAACCTTCTACATTAAAATAGGTATAGTATAGAGAGGGCTCATATCTTTTGACCTGTGCGAGTGATAACACTGACAATTACTTGCTTTTGACTACCATTATCATCTTCTCCATGATGAATCTTAGCGCTATTCAACTCGACAGCCTTCCTGTCCTCGTTGTTGTCGCCTTCTGTGGTGTCGCTACTCACCTCGCCATATTTCGGATCGGCGAATGGGATGTTGCCGTTCACCGTATAATTGCTTTCCTTGGTCTCATCTATGCATTCATTTTCACCCTCATAGCCTATCATCATGACCTGGATCACCAGAGCCTTCTCAGTGCCTGGTATACTGCTTCTGCCCTCCTGGCAACCTTCATAGCTGGGATATACGGCAGCATGGTAATCTTCAGATTCTTCTTTCATGCTTTGCGCCGGTTCCCTGGTCCTACCTTTGCTCCTATATCTTCGTTGTATGCTGTATCGATGTCTATGAAGAAGTTTCACATGTTCTCAGAAATGCAAAAGCTACACAATACCTACGGCGATTTTGTGAGACTAGGTATTTACCTCTCCGCTATATATCAATGCGGTGCTAACCCTGCTATTATTCAAGGTCCGTCTGAAATTTCCATTGCATCACCGAGTGCTGTGGCTGCAATTTACCAGAATTCGTCACCTTGTCTAAAGGGCCCTTGGTATAATGTTTTTGTGCCTTCAATATCGTTGCATGCCTCGAGAGACAAGCAGGAGCATGCACACAGAAGGAAAGTATGGGACAGGGGCCTTAGTGCAAAAGGTATGAAGTTCGTCTCTCGAATTTTCAACGTCAGACTAATCATTCCAAAAGCTATGCGCGATTACGAGCCAAGAGTAGAAAAATACACGCGTTTGTTAATCAGTCAGCTACAAAAGAGATGTGGCAAACCGGTGGACATTGCGGAATGGTGCAACTTCTACGGATTCGACGTCATGGGTGATCTTGCATTTGGGAAGAGCTTCAATATGCTTAATGACGGAGTCAGGCACTATTACATGGACCTGACACAAACATCCACCTTATGGGGCACTCAGATTGCTCGATCCTCGTGGCTCTATCTACTCATAAAGAGCATACCTATCTTAAACTACCAGATTGCAAACTTTCTGAAATGGCTAAGAACACATGTGGATCAGAGGACAAAGGTAATACCGTTCGTCCAGTAGTATCCATCCGTTCTCCTCTGACCAGATAGCAGAATGAGCCAGACCTTCCTGACTTATTCTCCTGGCTCCTTGGTGCGTACAGGGAACAGTCAGTCCACACGAAGCAAGACGAACTCAACCTCCTGGGCGATGCCCACCTTATTGTGGTTGCAGGGAGGTATGTTTTGGAGTAAAGGATGTGTCAAGGCATGATGGAGAACTGATCCATTTACATTACACAGCGACACTACTTCCACAAGCCTCACATGTGCCCTGTTTGAGCTGGCCCGTCATCCCGATGTCTACCGGAAGCTTCGAACAGAAGTTGACGATCTCCTGAAGCTAGAGGATACTCATAGCCACAGCGCTCTTGCCAAACTTAAATACCTGCAGGCTGTCATCGATGAGACAATGCGGCTTTACCCAGCTATTCCCTCAGGTCTGCAGAGAATCACACCCCCGCAAGGCCTGCAAATCAACGGAACATTTATCCCAGGAAATATGATTGTCCAAACACCGACCTATACATTGAACCGGGGTAGGTAGTGATCACCACCGCTTGGGCAAACCTATCTCGGGACACAGCTGACCATGCGTGCGTGTGGCCAGACGAAAGATGCTTTTTGCACCCCAACAACTTTATTCCCGAGCGATGGACAACGCAGCCCGAACTCGTTCGCGACGCTTCAGCTTTTGCCCCCTTCTCCATTGGTGAGTCCCTACAGAAAAGCCATTTTATCTGACAATAAATTTTCTTGTCTTGTCTGGTCTGACTTAATGCACAGGGCGTTACTCTTGTGCTGGAAAGCAACTTGGGCTTTTTGAAATTAGGCATGTTTTGTCGCATATCGTCTCCAAGTTTGACATCCGCTTTGCTCCGGACCAAACATCCGAGCTATTTCAAGACGGGCTGGCAGACGGGTTTACACTTCTCTGCCCAAAGCTTGAAATGATCTTTGAAACCCGGAAGAACAGGGAGCTGCCAAATTAGTTTGCAGGGATGAGTAACCGATAACTGAGGACAGGAATTCGCAACTCCATTTTGTATCATGGTGTTACTTCTCTCGTTGTTAAATACCTAGTCAAGAAGAAAAAGAAACATGACTTGATAATTAAAGAATTTGGATATAAAGTAAATAATAAGGCTAAAGGTCGTCCAAAAACCAGTTATAATGTCCGGAGTTAGGATCGCAACTCCATCCCTGATCGTCCTCACCATCCTTAGAAGCATCAGAAATTGTGCCACGCGTATCCTTAAGAGTGCCCTGATGTGACGGAGTTCGACTTTGAGACAAGTACCCTAATGAGTTGGGCTGAAAACGCAAAGAATGAATAGTAACGGGAAGACTATCTTGCTGGAACTTGGGCACGTCCTGAACAAGTGCAGGGAAATGGTAAAAGAAATCCGAATGCATGGCCCAAGAGCCGAGATTGGAGATTGTGTCCCTGAATAGGGACGAAAGGCTATACCTACCGAGCCCTGCGTTGATGATATACGCATCACGGAATTCGTAGGGCCATGAGATCCGCAGGTGCTCTCCAAACATGTGCCAGAATAGGTTACTACAGTATCGATGCGGGTAGTCTATAAATTGACGGCGTAGGGACGGCCTGTTGATTACTATAAGCTCTCGAAGTTACGCCCATAGAGGCTTGATTTGAGTCTTACCAGGCAAGGTAGTCAACGGCTGGATGGCCAGAGCTATCCTGTGATGACGTACTTGGGCAACCCAGTTAGGTAGTGAGTGAAGTGGAAGGAGGTTGAGACAAACGATTTCATATACCATCGCGGCAAAATGGTAGTGTTGGCTGATGTTGGGTTGGCGTAGGCGCGCATGTAGCGGTGAACCATGTGAATCACGGCAAGACGCTCTACCTGGCCACAAGCAGAAAAGCAAATCTCGTCGAGGTGCCGAATCCTCTTCCAAAGTAATGTCATTTTCCCCGACTGCGCAAGATGATCCCAGCCATAAAGCACAACGCGTATTGGGACATCATCACTGGCGTTGTGTTCTAACTCAAGCATCGAGGCCGATAGGAGTGTAGGGTCCTTTAAGGCCTGGTTGCCCGCTTGCCATATGTTTCGGCTAACCACTGATCCATCCGAGAGCCGCCTTGTTTCTGAGGAAGTGCAATCGCAATGGGATTTCTGATCTGATGCAGACGCTGACGCGGCTGGAATCGCGTTAACAACGGAGTAGCCATGCGATACACTGTACGTAGCTGGAGGCAGGAGGCGATCTTGCTCTGTCCCGAACTCTTGGTTTATACATGTCTGGTCGCCGTCTAATGCTGTGTCCTTTGGGGTCGGGAGGGTCCTAGCGAAGTCAGGCGAAAACAGACCAAGCTCATTGTCGGCCGGAAACGTCTCCACCAAGTCCGGTAGCAACGCAGGAAATTCCCTGTAAATAGTACCAGATACGCTTGGCTGTACTTGAGGCTGCTCCTCGGGTGAAGTCCTGCTCTCCCAGTTCTTCGCATCGGAGAGACGCTTAGTCAAGGACGAGGATGTGGAATCAAGAAAGCGAACCAGCGAATCCCGCTGCTCCGTTACCTGTGACAGTTGGGCCATTAATGATAAGGTCTTGCCGTTATCATCTCCGCTGCTCAGCTTCTGAACAAGATCCTCGAGATAGGCGATGCGGTTCTTGGTCCTCTCGCGTGAGATGCGCTGGGCCTTGCGGTCTGACTCCCTTTTCTTGAGCCTCAGGGACTCGTTATTGGGCGACGTAGCTTGTCGCCGGGCGGCAGGGGCGTCTGTGGGCATCGCAGAACTTGAAAGATTTTAGCTTTTACTGGTTTAAGATTGGGCACGTTGGAGATGGTGTGGGGGAGTCAGCCGCTCTTATAGCCGCGGGTCTGGGGAAAGAAGGGGCCCCATAATAATTTCTAATTAGGTAATGTTGAACAGGTGCTGGGGTCTCACGTGCAGGCAGGGATACTTTAAGATTACAGCCGAAATGGTAAAACCTCTAAGGGGTAGATTTCAACAGAA